CCCTTCTACTTCAAATAAATTGCCCAAGACCACAACCATATTTGGCCACCACTATCGGTTGTCGGTTGACTTCATTGGAATGGCACACGACCAGCCAGATCCAACTGATCATTCGTCATTCTGACGACTGCTGGTCGTCGCCAGCAGTGGTGGTCCACAATTAGCAGTCGTCTTTGGTTTCAGGGGGTGTTTTGGCTAATTTTAAACTTTTATTGTGGCCAAGATGTTTTAACAAAATCTTTAAAATAGGGGGTTAAAAAATGTAATCCAAATAATAATAATAATAATATATTGTTATTATTATTTAAAAAAGATGACAATTCAGTAATTTACATAATATACCTACCAATTTATTTCAATCTAACCAAACATATTTAATATAACATTCTCCATAATACAACATTCTTTGAAATGTGTGCAAATTTAAATTAATTTTTAAATCATTAAATTTACACATGTAAAACCTAACACTCACCATGATTATATCAATAATTTTATATTTGTTATTTAAGTTTATTTGTTAAGGTTTCGTTTCTATATAAGACTTGTTACGATTGGAATCAAAATCAAACTATCATAAAGAGATGGTCTTAATCTCTCTTAAATTTATGAAGTTTGATGAAAATAGTAAATTTGGGTATTGGTGAGTCCATATAAAGTTTTTGCTTGAATATGAAGATTTTTGAGAAAACCTAGCCTATAGATCTAGTTACGCTAGCACAAAATCAAAGAAAAGATTTAAGTGATAACAAAAAGAAAGATTTAAAACCACTTCAAAAAGGTGCTTGGGATATACAGTATATGATTAATTAATAGATGATTGAACAAATGTTTATAAAAGAATTGCTCATGCCACCACTTCAAAAAAGGTTGATGAATATTTTATAGAGGAAGAAACGTTCAATTGTATACTTTATGGAGGAATTTTTGAACTTCTTTTAAGACACAGAAATCATAAAGAATTTCTTGTTATAGCTCTTTTCAATCGTTTACTTACCCTTCTCTACTCTTAAAAACACCATTTGAAGTTTTTCACAATAAAAGTACGAACTTATATAACCATTTACAACAAACTCTGATTTTTATAAATGCCGAAGCATATCGAAATAGATTTTCATGTGATTATAGAAAGAATTCAATCATATATTACCTTCATGCCATCATACACTCAAAAATTGACAAGATGGCATTTTGGAAATGACCAAAATAATAACCTTCGTATATTGGCAAGGTGGTATTTTAGAAAGATAATAAATTGGTAATAGGATATTTTGGAAAGAATATAATCATATATCCATATCAGTAGTCAGCTTTTCATTATTGGGTAATAATAATTAATTTGATTTTATTAGCATTAAATAATATTTCGAGTTGTATATAAATACATAAATAACTATACAAGAAATACATTTTCCTCGTAATTTCTTCAATTAATTTTTTTATATTTTTACATATTCATCAAGTACTAAACAAATTGGACGGGGACTAAGAGACAGAGTTTTAAAGGCTAAAAGCATGTGAAAAATTAACGGGTTATACGCAATTGCCGTAAAAGATGGTGGCATGATAGATTAAAACCTAATAATTCTAAAACTACATGAGAGGCTAAGGTTGATATATTTCTAATTTTAGCTTTTCGCAAAAGTGCAACAACTTGTAGCTAGCTTATATTGTTTGCATGCATGTGCTACGAGATCTTCAAATCTAAATATCAATCACTTAATTGGTTTATACTTATACTCACCACAGGAGATTTATCCTGTCACGATGAAATATGAATACCCAAGGCCAAGATGAGGCCTGAGGGCTGGAATAAATCCCCTATTGCGATGTCACTTGGCGTCTCTATTACTTAAAACCCTTTTGCAATAGCAGTCCAGTCTCAAAATCATTACAGCTTTAATCGTTGTTGAACTGCTACTGGATTGTATTACGAATTTTTGTTTGATATGCTATAACCGATAAGGTTATTCCGACGTGACTAAAATAACTCCAGTTTAATGCAGGATTTAATGTCATTGTACGAGTATAATAAGTATACGTAGAGGGTAATGGTAGCCCCTTAATTTACCGATTACTAGATTGCATTGAAGGTGGAAGGCATTATGTGGCGACAATCTCTTCTTGGCAACAAACTCAATGACAAATTTGTCTCAAGTAATATCAAAATAGTAGTTGTAGGGTGCTTGTGCTCTGGATTTTTAGGCCCAGACTAGAATGCCAAATTGGCTTGTTCGGAATTGGATAAGGCTACCTAGTGAAGATAACACTTGTGGTCCATAAAATATGCTCATGATTCCTTTGGATACTCGCATTTTGAAAGTGGTGGTTTCAGCAATCTGCGACACATAATTTACTTTTGTGGGAAAATGTCCAACATTATGGATAATTTAGCTGCCAAAAATATCTATGGGATATGGATACATTATGGATAGTTTTCTAAATGTTTATTGATATTTTTTAGTTTCTTTTATTTTCTAATAGTGACACAATTTTTACTCAGATGGACATGTCTTACACTTCTTGGCCTGAAGCAAGATGGTATAGAGCCAGAAAGATCGTTCTCAGAAAGATACAAAAATTCAATACCTTCAAGTTTGCAGAATTCAACCGAAATTGAACCCTCAAAGAGATTATTGAAAAATAAATTCCAATCAAATTTGACTAGTTCCCAATCAATTTTGGAAGGTATCCTGAAAAATGGGTTATCACTAACATCGTTCTATCAATGATAAATTTTGTTGGATGAGATGTGATCCACATAAAAGTTTTACATTCGAGTTGAGTTAAAAATTGCAGGAACATTTGGCCATCCAGATTGTCATGTGATAGCTAGTTTGACAGAATAAAGACTCATTTGAAGCCATGATTAAATTAAGACTTCAAATTTGGAAAGAACGAACTTATATTTGCGGGAATACGACCTTGGAAGATATTGTGATATATATATATATATCTAGCAAGTACATATGTCAGGATTTGGAAGTGATGGCAAATGAAAAGGCCCGTAAAGGAGTTATTTCCATTTTGGTTTTGTTCTTTGAAAACCAAGATGGAAAATTTCCTCCAAAATTGATGTAGGAAAGAAGACTTCGCAAGTCATTTTGGTGTATCAAGAAGCTAGGCAGTGCTATATTGAGTCCTCCAAGTCGACAATTCGAAATACAATAGTCATTAGTTGAAACTTTGGAAACCAAGTTCCGGAAAAAGTTTTTGGGATCAATTTCATCACTTAAGATGGAATTAGGATTCTTTCTCTTGACTTGAGTTTTTCTAACCTTTTAAAGATCTCACAACACATCTATATTTTAATTTATTTATGTGGTTCTGATCTATTTGTCTATGATTACTAATCACAAGCCTTCATTTGTTCAGGTAAAATATCATTGCAGGGGAGCATTTTGGTTGATGACATCAAGGTTTGAGTGGTTAGACAAATGAGTGGAATGAATATGGGACTTGCAACCTGTTTTGTGAAAGTGAATTCCAGTGAAGTAATTGTTGCAGAGATCCAATAGCTTTAAGAGATATCATGTTTCTTATTATCCCGTCCAATTCATTTCTACTGAGATCTAACTCTTCCAGGTTCTTCAAATCACACCACCCTGTTCCACAAATATGGGAGAAACAAAAAATATGATATTGAAAGAAGCCTGTGTTGAATAAATGTGAAGAAAGTGGCCACATGAAAACTATTAGTTTACTTTCTTATCGTAAAGTTGTTATATCTTGCAGTGCATCATGCAAAGACAGAAATTTAACATGTTTCGTTTGTGGATTGGATGGGAAAGAAAATGAGAATAATTCCCTTTCCCATTTTAATCATATTCATATTCCCTTCTCATTCCCATCTGAGAAGAGACAGTTAAGAACGAGAGAAAAGAAAAAAAATCTGGAAACTTCTGATTATTTTTTGCAGTAGGAACAAATGGCACAGCTGATATGCTTATATACAGAACAGAGAAACAGAACTCTAACAGCTATTAACAGTATTTTAACAGAACCATAACAGAAATATAACGGAGGCTTAGCAGCCTTGTACTTAACAGACTTACTACATTTTCTCTCTTACATCTTCCCTCAAACTAAACTCGGGAGATCTTGCCAACTTGATTCTTCTTCATATCTTCCGTAAACTAAACTGTGCAGATCTTTTACCAACTGCTAACTTTAACATTCTTGAATTCTATTCACATCTTCCCTCAAACCAAATTGGAAGACCTTAACAAGCTGCACATTTGACAACTGACCCTAGAACTAATACAGATCAGCTCAACAGAAAACATACACTTCTAAACGAGGATCATCACAGACTCAGCAGATAAGCACATTTGAGTAGGAAATCAACACCAACCAGATGAACATTAACAGCAGCACACTTAATCAGCACAAACTGCCCATTTATCAAACAGCACCTTCTTAACACTGCTGATCATTGAACAGACATATTCAAGCAGCACATCAATCAGCACAAACTGCCCATTTATCAAAACAGCACCTAAACTCAGCAACTCTTTATCAAAAAACAGCACCTTAACTCAACAACAAAACAGAGGCAACAGGCAACAGACTTTTAACTCAGCAGCACAGTCAAATAACAAAAGAGGCAACAGGCAATAGACTTTTAACTTCAGCAGCACAGTCAATAGAGGCAACAGGCAACAGAATTTAACTTCAGCAGCACAGTCAAATAGAGGCAACAGGCAACAGACTTTTAACTTCAGCAGCACAGTCAAAATAGAGGCAATAGGCTTCACAGTAAGAGTATCTCTGAAGAATTCAAACTTGGAAGCTGAGAGGGCTTTGGCAATAATATCAGCTCTTTGATCAGTAGTTACATATTGCATTTTCAATTGTTTGGCAATCACTTGCTCTCAGATATAATGGGCATCCAGCTCCATGTGTTTGATGCAAGCTAGGAAAATTGGATTAGAGGCTAGAGAGCCAACACTCTAATTATCACACCAAATCACAGGTAATTCAGATAAGTGAAGACCAATTTATGAAAACAAACTCCTAAACCAGGCTACTTCAGTTGCCCCTTGAGCTAGAGCTCTATATTCTGCTTCAGTAGAGGACAAGGCCACCACTTTCTGTTTGTGAGAACTCCACTGTAGCAAGTTTGGACCAAGGATCAGACAACAGCCACTGGTAGACCTTCTATCCTGGACACTACTAGCCCAATCATCAGTGTAACACTCTAGATTGAATTTGTCAACCTTATGAAATTGAATCCCATGTGTGAGTGTACCTTTAATATACCTCAAGAGTCTTTTACAAGCTTGCCAATGCAATTGAGTAGGAGCTTTTAAAAACTGGCTCAACTTATTTACAAAGTATGCTATGTCGAGTCTGGTAAGGGTTAAATATTGCAAAGCCCCAATGGTGCTTCTGTAAAGACCTGGTTTGTCAAAGAGTTCATTGTCTTCAACAACTAACTTAGTTCCTACAACCATAGGTGTAGAGAATGGTTTGGAATCCAGCATGCTTGTTTTGACAAGCAAATCCTTAGCATATTTCTCTTGATTCATATGAAGTACTGATTCAGTTCTAGTGACTTCAAAACCAAGGAAATACTTCAATGATCCCAAAGTCTTAAGAGCAAATTGCTTGTTCAATTTGTGAATTATTTCTTGCACTAATGCAGCATTGCTTCTAGTAAGAAATATGTCATCCACATACACTAGAACATACAACACTTGATCCTCTTTTTTGTAAATAGACTTGAATAAGCTACTGATTAGAAAAGCATGCTTCAACTTGTCAAACCAAGCTCTTGGAGCTTGTTTAAGTCCATAGAGTGCTTTGGTTAATTTGCATACATGTTGGGGATATTGAGAATTGACAAAGCCCTCAAGTTGGAACATGTAAACTGTTTCAGCTAACTCCCCATTAAAAAAGGCATTGTTTATGTCTACTTTCTGAATATCTCATCCATAGCTCACTACAAGACTTAGAATAATCCTCATTGTGGGAGATTTAACTACGGGACTGAATGTTTCACAATAGTCCACACTAGGAGTCTGTTGGAAGCCTTTAACTCTCAACCTAGCCTTGTACCTTTGAATGGAACCATTAGAGTTATACTTAATCCGGAAGACCCATTTGTTAGCAACATGATGCATATCAGAGGTGGCTGGAACCAAATCCTAAGTATAGTTGGCCAATAATGCATCGAATTTAGTTTGCATGGTAGATTTCCAAGAGGAATGAAAGAGAACTTCAATAACAGAGACTGGTTCTGTGGTATCCAAATGAGAGGAAGGAGCTAAAATGGAGCTATAAACTTTGGCTTTAGACTGGTAACCATAGGATGAGTGTTTAAGGAAAAAGGTTGTGAGGATTTAAAGGGTAAGTCAATTGTAAGTGGTATTGTATCAAAAGATCGACTAGAAGATATAGAGATAGGTGTGAAGATGTTAGGAGGAGTGGCAAGAGAAGCTGTGGAAAAAGTAAAAGTATTGGACTCATCTAGTGAGGAAGGAGCAGGAGATAGAGTAGAGGAAGATTCCTCAGAGGAGGAAAAGGGTATATAAGAACTACAAGGTTATGGCAGTGATGAGGATAATTGACTATGTGTGGTTGGACAGTGAGTAGAAGCAGACAAGTGAGATAAGTTATAAGCAGAAGGGATTGTAAAATGAGGAATTTGCCAGACTTGAGAAAATGACAAAGGGGAATCAGACTCAACAGATAAAGGAGAATGTGAAGAAGATGAAATGGTAGATGATAAAGGAGAAAAAGGAAAATCAAATTCATCAAATTTGACACTTTGACAAATATAGACACAACTAGTAGAGTCTAAACATTTGTAGCCCTTGTGATGTAAACTATAACCGATAAAAATGAATTTTGAAGTGTGAAAGTTAAACTTGTGAGCACTATAAGGTCTAAGAAATGGATATATTGCACAACCAAACACTTTGACAATAGAATAGTTAGGTGTTTTTGAAACAAAACTTGAAAAGGAGAGACATTAGACAAGACAGGTGTTGGAAGCCTATTTGTGAGATAAAGAACAGTTTGGAAAGCAAACCACCAATACTTGAGAGGCATGATGGCCTATGCAAGTAAGGTGAGACCTTGTTCAATAATCTAACGATGTTTCCTCTCTACCCTGCCATTTTGCTGATGTGTATGGGGACAAAGATGCCTAAACAGTATACCATGTTCATGAAAGTAAGGAACAAGGCTTCTAAACTCCCCACCCCAATCAGTTTAAACACATTTTAAAGAGGCAGTGAACTGCCTTTCAACCAATTTATGAAACTGCTTAAAAATAGATTGAGTTTCAGATTTTGCTTTTAAAGGGAAAATCCAAGTGAACCTACTATGATCATCAAGAAACTGAACATAATATTTGAAGCCTTCGAGTAAAGGAATAGGTGAAGGACCCCATAAGTCAAAGTAAATCAAGTCAAAAGGATTAGATGCTTTAAAACTGGACATAGGAAAAACAAACTAATGAAGTTTGCCAAATCGACAAGCTTGGCAAAATGTAATTGTACTACTAACAGACTGATCTATACGTAAATCAGTTAAAATTTAGTGAGAATAGATTCATGTGGATGTCCTAATCTTTTGTGCCACAACATTGCATTGGTTTTTGAACATGATATGACAGAAAGGAACTCATTTTTTTAGCACAATTGTCATGGGAAATAGACAATATTATGGAAAACAGGAGGTACAAAAACAAAAGACTTAGCATCACTTATACAAGAATTAAAAGCTGTAGTAAACAAAGATAAATCAGTAGGTGACTAGTTGAGACTATCATTTCCAAAACTCATAGAAGCAGACTCAGGACAGACTATGCTGGCAAGAACTTCTGTAAACACAGGAGAGGAGCAACTACAACTTGAAGCTGATAGAGACCAACTTTAAAGTTTCCTCGAAGAAGAGTTACTTTGGTTTGCTTATCCTTAACAACACCATAATCATCAAAGAATTCAACAAAGACATTATTCTCTTTGGTGAATTTAGAAATGCTTAACAGGTTTTTAGTAATATAAGGAACACAAAAGACATGATGAAGAAGTAAATTCCTAGATGAACAAGGTAAGATTGTAGAACCAATATGAGTTATAGAAAGTAACTCACCATTTCCAACTTGAAGCTGCTCAGATCTTGTATAGTGGGAGCTTGCTGTCAGTTGGGACAAATCAGAAGTTACATGGTCTGTTGCTCCAGAATCCATGTACCAAGCTACATCTTGAATGGTTGATGGTGTAGCAATGTAATTGATGGCATAGTTAGGATGTTGTTGTGTTTGTGCTTGAGAAAAGTACACTTGATTGTACATATTTGAAGGAGTAGCAGATGACAACTGATGACCAGTATTGTTAGAAGAAGATTCTGATTGGAATGAAGCTTGAGCACCAACATTAGACTGATATTGTGGAAAAGTTCCATTTTGAGTACTCATTGGCATCGGTGTAGGTTGAACATGAGAGTACTGTTAAGGAATGCCACCAGAATATTGAGATCTCTGAAAAGAGTCTCCTAAACTAGTTTATTGAGGAGTAAAAATATTGCTTATGTTGCCAGTTAAATGCACATTAAAACAATGATAGCAATTCAATGTTAGATGACCAACTTTTCCACACACTTGACAGATCACTCTTGATCTATTTCCATATCTACCTCTACCTCTACTATTATAGAATCCTTTAGGCAAAGGTTGAGGATAGAATTGATTCTGAATTGTAGAAGTCATCAATTGATTTGTCTAGAGGTAGAGTATGGAGACATAAAACTTCTAAACTGTACATTAGGATTTGACATAGAATTAACCTGAGATTGACCAGAACCAAATCGAGATTGTTCAGATTGTGTTTTCTTGTTCACTGCATCAGGTGACAAGTTTGCAATGTGAACTGAGCTTCCATGAAATTTAGAGTTAACAACAAAATTCATCACTACATTTGCTTTTTCTATTCTGAGCTTAAACTTTTGCAAGATAATTTGAGCTTCTTGGACAGACAGAGGATCCAACTTTGACTATAACCTAGTGGTTATATTTACAACTGTAGCATCATACTTCGAATCAAGTCCATCTAAGATATCATTTAGTAGTTCTTCATCCATAACAACTACTCCACTAGCTAATAAGCTTTCAGCAAAGCTTTTCATTTTCATAAAGTAATCATGCATGTTCAAGTTATCCTTCTCAGTATTCTATAATAAATTCCTAACATCTAATGTTTTTGCTCTAAACTCAGTAAGAGATTCCTTTTCTATAGTACACCGCATATCGGCAGAATATTGACATTTAGAAATCACACTGAACATAGATTCAGATATTAAAGCAAGTAGCCAACTTACTAAGAGCTTGTCAACCTTTTTCCAAAGAGCATAATTTGGATTAGGTTTTGTAATCAATTTGAGTTTGGACCGTCTGATTGTACTCTAATAAACTGAGCTGGACAGGAGCTTAATCCAGTGAGATGTTCTTCTAAATCTTGTGAACCGACAATAAATAGAATATGTGATTTCCAAAATCGATGGTTCTCTCTTGTTAATTTGGGCGAAATTACTGGAAGGGTCGATGAGGACATTGTATGAGAATTTGCGAAAATAATGGATTCAAGTGCACGTTTGGAACCTGAATTATCATTTGAGTTCTTAGAAGAAGTAGAGAAAGCAATAATTTCAGCCATTATTGACATTTGTCAATGGCTCTAATACCATGAAAAGAGACAATTAAGAACGAGAGAAAAGAAATTTTTTTTTGGAAACTTCTTATTCTAATTATTTATTGCATTAAGAACAAATGGTACATCTGATGTGTTTATATACTGAACAGAGAAACGGAGCTCTAACTGCTATTAACAATATTTTAATAGAACCATAACAGAAATATAATGGAGGCTTAACAGCCTTGTACTTAACAGACTTACTACATTTTCTCTTTTACACCATTCATTTCTCTAGGGATGGGCACATGTCGGCCCGGAAGCCTGAGGGGATTCCCTGGTCCTGGCTCGTAGCTTGAACAGGGAATTCGGGGAATCCCTGAATTAAGGCTGATCCCCAAATGGGGAATTCGGGGAATCCTCGAATTCCCCGTTTGGGGGTTTTGTGTCTTTTGCCTCCTTGATCCTGCCTTATTATCATTTTCTCCAAATTATAATATACCATCCAAAAAGAAATTAAATCTATAATGTACATATTAAACATAAAGACCATCATACTAAATTGATAATGTATTACACTATATGATAAATTTATAATCAAAAGATTCAAAACATAAGGAGCCAAACCACCAAAAAGACCCCCACAATCCACATCAGTAGATTCAATACATCAAACTACTAAGATCCAACATTCAAGAGTAACATCAAGACGGCTAGACCACAGCAAACAACACCTAACATTCCATTTCCATGTGCAGCCCACAAACAACCTGTAGACAAATTTTAAATTATTACACACCTAAAAAAAAAATATAAACCATATTAAATTGTATACAATTAAAATATGGAGAAATAAACCTGTCACAAGCAAACTGCACAGCAGATGCAAAAGCAAACTGTAGTGCAGTTTGCAGTTTGCACAACAAATTGCACAATAGGTGCAAACATAAACTATAATGCAGTTTGCTTGTGCGAACTACAGTATAGTTTGCACTTTGCACACTGCACAACAAGTGCAAACATAAACTACAAATACAAAATCTTTAAGCACATAAAATCTTCAATCACACGAACCAATCTAAACCCTTAAACCCCACATAAAATCTTCAAGCATAACTTAATCAGTCAATCTAAACGGCAAATAAGAAAACAAGATTGGATCATAACTCAATCGATGTAAACCCTTAAACCCCACATAAAATCTTCAATCATACAAACCAAAACTAATG